TGCAATTCTGAGGCTCCCGTATTTTGGTTAGATTTATCTAACTCAAATGAAGGAATTCACCACTAGAGTAAGTAGAGAATGCATCAATCCCCAGTACATGAGGTAAAGTCACCTGTGTAATTGGATCCTTAATTGTGCTCCAAGAATCGAGCTCTACTCACTTGTGTAAAAGGCCAACGCCTATCCACAATGCCGCCGCCAACCTCGGTGGTCCTATTGGCTACTTGTACTAATTTTCTACCTGTGTTATACGTGAATTTTGTTTCAAATTTGATTTTTTTAATAAGAATTTATTTGGGTATTGATTTTTTTTAATAATTTTTTATTTTTTAATAAAATGACATGTACAAAAATAGAGATAATGGGTTGAGTTTTTATATATATATATATATTTTTTTTGTCTATTTTAATCAATTGCGAATAAATAGATCTCGTGATTTTTGAAAATAATATAAATTTGACATAATTATATTGGACACTTAAAAAATTTTATTTCATATAACACTCTTCGTGTGTGTGTCAACAATACGTTAGTCATAAAAATAGAAGGAAAAAAAAATGATGTTTTCTCTTTTACAATGAAATGAAAATTTTATTTCATTTATTATTACATCTTTATATCATTTGCATTATTTCAGTCCCTTTTTCTTTATAAACATTTTATGATTCAATCATGGTTTTCATTGTCAGATTATTTTAGTTGATTGATTTATTTATTTAGGAAATGTTTTTTATTCTATATAACATCTTGTTCTATTGTAGACTCAAGGCACAATAAAAGCTCGATATTCCCTGTAAATCAAATAACTAGATTTTTATGGTGTAATCAATTAGTGAAAGTAATTAATTTTTTTGGAATTAATATGGAATAATCAATACCTTTTGTTTATGTTTCAATCGAGTTATATAAATTGAATCTAAAATATTTATAAAGAAAACATTGGAGTTTCAACCCTAACCTTAACAAAGAAAATTAGAACATCATAAACTAAACTAAAACACTCTGTATTGAAATGAATGAACTCTCCAAAAAAAATTGTTCTCTTCCTCAATGAGATTGACATGTATTTATAGAGGTCACTGGGGCTGTAAATTTGGATAGATTCTAGCATCATCCAGCCAATAGAATTTCTGCATGCACCTTTTAACCATCAGCCACTACAGGAAATGCCACTTTTGGCGACCAAAATATTGGTCGCCAAAAGCCCCATTTTTGGTCGCCGAAACAATTAGCGACTAAAATATTTTATTTTTGGTAGCCAATTCCGTGACTTTTGGCGACTAAATTAGTTTTGGTAGCTAAAAGTGGTCGGCAAAAATGCTTTTTCTTGTAGTGAGCCATCCAATTGCCTTTGGAACTCATTCATCAAATAGAATTTTGCCTCATACATCTTTGCATTATCCAACCAATAAGATTTTGCCCCAACATTACATTGCATCACTCATCCAATTAAGTTTCTTCATCCATGTAACTGTGTTTTCTTGATTGGCCATATGATGCTGTTTGGGGAATGAATTTGATTTGGGCTCCCTTTACTTTAATTTCCATTTAGTCCCAACATTTATTCTAATTGCAAATTATTCTGTAAAAATTAAAATTAAATCATTAAACTGACAACTAAAAATAAAGTAGGGGAATTAAATTAATAAGAGTGTATTAATGATTAAAAATAATAAAATAATTATACATTTTTAACCATTATCACCAAACTAAAAGGGAAGTCATATAATAGGCTAAAAATATAAGACTTGTTGTATTTTCTCTAATTCTCAGAGAGATCATTGTAATTTACTTTTTTTGGGGGGAAAAAAGCAGCATCATTCAAAACTAATCATCATCAATTTATTTCAATGTTAAAGTTCATGTAATTGTTTCTAAAATTTTAAGTTTCATGTGTCGAAAGTATTTAGAATTTCAAATTTAAGCAAATAAATCTGTACTTTTAAAACTAAGAGATGTGTCCCTAATAAAAACACACTACAATGTCTATGTAAGACATTAACTTTCAACATGTTAATTTGGGTTTCTTCTCTTGTTTTTTTATGTATTATTTTCATATATATTTTTTATCATAAACGGTTTATTTACCTTTTTCTATGTGCGCAAACGTCATAAGTACTAATAGTAATTTGATTTGTATCTAGGAGTTGTCCATTATCTATTAATACGTTTGCGTGGTTAGGTAGTAACAACTTTGAAAAAGCAATTATATGTCTCACATAATGACAAGCCAAAATTTATTTACATTACTTTTGATTTAAATATTTATAGTAATATTGATGGTTTATTGTATAAAATTTCCCCCAACATCTTGTAACAAAGCATAGATGACAGCAATGGATGGAGTAGTAGAGAGCAGTGGCCAACAACTTCTAGTGTTCTTGATACTGGTGGAATTGATAACAAGTACATCGTCTAAATGTTTCCATCTACAAAGGATTTCCAATACCATGAAACCTTCCCCTTGCATTTCAATAATGAGTTTTTTTTTTTTTTTTTTGTTGAAATAGTTATTTGTATCTTATAAGCTATAAGTAGAAGCTGCACCAAATACTCTTACGCAAACTTTCAATATAAAAAAGAGTTATAAACAGCTCCATAAGTTGCACCAAATAGTCCCATTCATAAACTAAAAGTCTGTGATTTCTCGACACAATATTCCACCAATCTCACCAAGTTCAGATGGTGAGTGCTGTCTATTATCTTGACTTGTTCAGCCAAGAAAAGGACTTATTGACATGGCCTAAGCAAACAAGATACTTCACTGCAACTTTGGTTTTACCATTGCTTAGAAGAGAGCTCCTTCAAAGACCGATATCATCCTTGCCAAAGTTTCCTTTTGAAGTTATATCAGTCAGTGACTTTGAGCTCACAGTAAGAGAATCTCATGAGCATTGCCGGCATTTCTTTATCTAATAATCCTCCGCATTTTCATCAATTCCTTTTTTCTAACTTGAAAAGGAAAACACATATGGAAATTATAATAAAGAGACCAGAAAAACGCTCGGCTAGATACTAGTTTGATTACAAATATGATTATTGACTTAACCTGCACTTTATATTGACCTTTATTGAGATAATCTCTGTTAGTATATATAGAGCATTTTCCACTTGAATTTTTATTGGATACTTCACTTGAACAAAACATAGCAGCTCTGTAGTAGCAACTACTAAAGCAGGCTTAGCTTCCAACAACACTTTTCATGTCTGTATTCATAGTATTTGAATTGTCCGCCTTGACAATGAAGTAGGTAAAATTCTTTAACTTTATGAGCTTGTGATATTTTGAAGCTTTGCAAGACAAAGGAGTAATTTCAAAACATCTAGGATTATGATGCTCATCATTTATTTGCTTAATATAGCTTGCTTGTATTGTTGTTTGCCACTTTTGGGTCCATACTTGCCACGCTATCGTACCATAGCTACTGCAAACTAATGGTGGCTCAAGGGTTAGACAACTTAGGCGGTTGATTAGGCCCCTGAGTAGAAGAGGGCCTACTTATTGTATATTCATTATACAATATGTGTATACATCAAAGAAATTATAGTCAAAATAATTCTTCAAACTAAAAAGAGTAACAAAAAATCTCTCAGTAAATAAATAAAAATGGTTAAATCTTAAATTATCAAACAAGAATACCACTTCATGAGTTATCTTAGACTATCAGTCAAATCATAAAGAGAGAAAACAACCCCTCTTACTAGAGGACATTTACATTACACCTCTTGCATTCTCTAGTCAAGATAACAACCCCAATTAGATTTAGCCATTGAACGCACAACAGGTTGGGCACTGATCAAATGCGCAGAATCAATGTAAAACATGATACAAGAAAAATATTTGCAACTCAGATTTCAGTTTATCCATTTCTTGTTACAGATCATAGGTTCTGGGAAATCAATGGGGCAAAAACATGGCAAGTAGAATGTGAAGTTTTTTGTTCATCATGTCACATTCTTTTTGTTTTCCCAGTAAAGCTCAAAGTGAAGTAAGAAAAAAAATTGCACATTATGCAGACTAACTGATGTACAAAATGTTTTCCTTCCCAATAATTCAGGAACATAACACTTTAACCAAATTAATTAGTTATAAAGTGGCTCTAAATTTGTCAAAAATATAAGTCAGCTTTGTTCCTTCTTCAAACTTAATTTACTATTCATTGACACATCTTTTGGGGAAAAAACTTTGAATCGTACACTAATTTGATGTTTACTTGTTTTACTTGAATCATGAGAAAACTCACATACTCTCACAAAATATCTATCTTCTTCCCCTTCACAACAGAACTTGAGAATGTTTAAATTAAAACTATGGGAAATCTAATCTTGCTCACTACATTCATATGGTTTTTGTATGTACTATGGAAATGATGATGGAATAACTTGAAGAAATAAAAAGGGAAAATATTGTTGAGAGTGTTGAAATTTTATCGACGCTACCTAAAACACCATTAATCTTGGTATCATAGAGTGTGATTTGCACAAATAAAAATCTTAGATTATAATTCACTACATGAGAAAAGGAATACAAAAACTTTAAACAATCAGCTATAATTTGCTTGTTTGAATCTACTTTCTTTACCTCGGTCCTGATAAAGCTGACGCAAATAATGGAGTAGCAGCACCACTGTCCTCCACTTGGTGACCAGCAATTATAATTGCTCTTGGTACCACAGGAGTTGTGAAGCTATAATCCAAATTGTTTTCAACATCAACTGAACCCTCCAAGACCTTAACCACCACTGACATGGAAGGCCTCCTCAAAAAATCACTTTGTAAACTCCACGCAGCAACCCTCATCATTTCCACAACTTTTGCTCTATTTGTCTGCATGTCATCATTGTATTTATCAACAATATCCAGAAGTTGTTCCTCTTCTACTTTCCTCTTAAACAGACCTAGTAAATGCATATCTTCTTCAGGATGAGATCGATCCAAATTTTTTCGCCCACACAACATTTCTAAGACCGCGACACCAAAGCTATAGACATCTACTTTCTCAGTGATAATTGAGAGCCAAATAGCCTAGTGTTCCCCTCATCATTGTTACAACTTGGCTTTGGTCCTTATCAATTAGTTTTGACAATCCAAAATCAGAAATTTTCGCATTGAAACATACATCTAAGAGAATGTTTTGGGGTTTGATATCCAAGTGAAATATTTTTTGTCTGCATTCCTCATGGAGATAGGTTAGCCCCTTGGCTATATCCATGATGATCTTTTTGGGGGGTTGCCACCCAAGTGTGAGCTCTTGGTGCCTTTGGAAGATCCATGTATCCAAGGATCCATTGGACATGTACTCAAACTAGAAGACGATATGATTTTTCAGCACAAAATCCAATTTATCTCACCAAATTGACATAGTGAGTGCTACCTATTGTCTCAACTTCAGCTAAGAATGACTTCTTAACCTGACCAAAATCGTTGAGATGCTTCACCGCTACGTTGGTGCCATCACTTAATGTCCCTTGAAACACTGACCCATCCTCCTTCGCCAAGCTTATTATCGAAATTGGTTGTCATGACTCTCAATTCTTCGTAAGAGAATCTGGTAAGCATCCCTGGTAGTTGATCAATATAGAACTCATCAAGTTCCTCGGATTCTCCCTTATTTCTAAAAAGGAAAAAGCAAAAGGCAACCACAAAAAAATACACCAAATAAAGCACTGAGACCGGATCCGAGTATGATTATGACTTGCCTTGATTTCCTAGGAGATTTTTGTACTTTAAGAAACTTAGTAACGTCATCAGCCCCTCTCTCAATATTTATAAGAGCAAAGACTTCAGATAATAATAAGCAACCTTGCCTTGAATCATTAAAACCCAACCTATTTAAAAACAAAGCTGCTTTGCATGAACAGTTTTTCAAGCAACTTGTCTTGCAATCGTTTAATGTTAATTTTTCGTCCAAGTAAAAGTTCGTGGATGTGTATGCGTACGGGTGTAAAAGTAACTAGTATTGTGTGCGTACCGAATTCCGCACTAGATGAAAGTGGATCAGGGCTCCGCGCTCAGTTGGACTATCCAAGGATTGAGGTTCCTGCCACAAGAAGCACCGTAAGAGCTACCTGGCCGGGGTTAGCCGGATAACCCCTCCGGTGTGAGAATTAGTGATCGCAAAAGAAGTGTAGAGAGTTGAGTTTGTAAGTAAGTGGGGTTCAGCTTGGAATAGTTCAGTTACCTTCAATGTGAAGTTTATGTAGTATATATAGGGTTCCTTGCTTGTTGCTCAAGATGGTTTCATGGAGCTCAGGTGCTGCCAAGTTTCCTTTTAGCATTGCCCAAGGTGGGGGGCCACCTGGTAGTTGTCATAGAATGCATATACTCATTGTAGTCATGTTGATAACAAACCACATTCTTCTGGTTTAACAGCTTCCGTGATTCTAGGTGTAGGGGACCAGTTGAGGTGGCATCCTCCATGTGCATGCATTCATAGCTTCCACGTTTCTCTAAGGGGTTTCCTCAGCTCGGTACCGTTGTGCCTCGGCTCGGCCTTTTACAAGATCGTTTATAGAGATGGGCTGGTCCATTCGGATATCTTTGTATGGGCTCAGCCCACTTTAGTTCAGCCCATAGATTAGGTCTTGCAGCTCGGTCCAACCCAACATCACGGTTGGACTAGCCTTTCCACTGCGGGTTGGGCCCAAGTGCTTGAGGACTTGGGTAGACTGTTGATCATGGAGTTAGGCTCAATTGGCTTGCCCATATATTCATCTAACCCACTTGGATTTGGGCTTTAGTGGATTGGGCCGGCCCAAGGCATGGATCCGACCCATTTCATATTCAGCCCCTTCATTTTCCCCCTAGCTCACGCTAAGGTTCCCCTTGGGGGGAGCTATTGTTCTGCTCTCCAAGTGCCGCGTCGCCTCAGTTTTGCTTCAGTTCGGCCTTGGTGACAGTTCAATCCTGACACACAACCCCTGCATGCGTCCTTTCATGTGACACGTGATGACATGGGATAGGTGTGCAGAGATAGTGCGTCGATTCCATACCGAAGGTCGTGCTTCGTGTACCTTCACGTCGGCTGGTGCAATAAATGCTCTAGCTATCAATCTAAATCCCTTTATTTGCTTTTTTGTTCTTTTAGAGAGTTTCAAAGAAAAAAAAGAAGAACCCTTCCGGTTCCTCTGAACCAATCTCGTTGGTGCTCTGCTCAGACTTTTCGCTGCCGATCTTGCTTCAGCGCCGCCCGTTCGCTACCGCTACTCTGATCTTTGTAAGTCCTCTTGTGATCCTTCTTCTCTTGTCTTTTTCTATTTCAATCACCTTGTTTGGCCCTTGCGCCGTTGTGTTCCCCATCTTGGTATCTGAGTTCTACCCCTGTACCACTAGGTTAGGTTTGATGGGAAAGTTTCGCTCATTAGTTGATGCTCCTAAGGCCGTGGCCATGTTTCATCGTGATTACAATATCCCCGATGACGTGACCCTTTCGCTGGCAAAGGTCGATGCCAAGGGTATGGGCACTAGAAATACCGCCACTTTTTCGATTGCATCCATCGTTGAGGGAGGGATTCATTTTCCTCTCGACCCTTTGGTGTGCTGATTTCTGCACCAGGTTCAACTCACCCTAATGCAAGTATCTGTTAACCTGTTTCGTGTCATCTGCGGTGTATCCGCTCTCAACAAACGGTTGGGCTTGAATCGCGATATTTGGGACATTTTGGGCTGCTACACTCTCTCGCATAACAAGGATCACAGCACGTACTACCACCTGCGTGTTCGTTCGATCGACTGTCATCTAGTGACTGGTTTGCCTGATTCAGACAAGCACAATGATGATTTTCTGCAAGTTGGTGGCAACTGGGAGTTCCCCGCCGGGACCGAATTCCAGTCTGAACGGATGCCTTTGAAGGATGGCTACCCAGGTTCAAATCCTTTCTCCAGTGTCTTTTGTATTTCTTGCCTTTGTTTTCAATGTTGTTTTAATGTGGTACTTCTTTTTTGCAGAGGCCTCTCATTTTCAGCGAAGGCTGAACCGGGAGAATACTGAGGCTATCAAGGCCGTTCTGAGGTACAAGAAGAGGTCTGCGCCAGAGTTGTTGGGTTACCAAGTGACTTACCGCTCTGTCATTCCGAAGAAAGCAAGGCTCACTGCATCCCTTCTAGATTCTGATACTAAGACTGACACATCCCTCACTCCTCTGCTTACGAATCGCCGTCGAAGCCAGAGTGCATTACCTGAAAGGATGCCCTCTCCTGTCCCCAGTTTCGCAGGGGGTGGGTCCGTGTTGAAGAGGAGAGTGCTAGTGGATTTGGAGGCTGAGACTTTTGGTGCCTCTGATACTTTGGAGACCACTTTATTGAAGGCCGAGGCGAAGAGCCTCGTGGATGTAAAACTGGAGATGGGAGCTTCTGGAACTCCCGCTGCTACTGCCGATCTGCTTCGGTTGCTGCAAGGGAAAAAAAAAAGAGGAGGAAAAAAACTGGCAAGATAGTGGTGGGGGAAGCTTCTGAAGATCCTATTGAGGACGAAGCACTTGAGAAATGGGAACCGCCAATGCTGCATCAAGGCAGGCCCGTTTCTATCTCTAATTCGGTTGTTGCTTCCCAAGATTTTGCTTTTGATTTGACCAAGACTCTGTTGATGCCGGTTGACATGGCTGACCATAATGGCCCCGCGATATTCTTATTCTGAAGGGGACCTTTCAGATGATAACTGTTGTAAGTGCTTTCTTGCTTTGCTTGCTTTTAGTGTTATGCTACTGTTTTCTTTCTTTTAATACTTTGTAATGCGTCATACTGTATTCAGAGGATGCATCTGTCCATCACCCGCGTTGAAGAACTAGAAAAGGCCATGCTGGAGGCCGCTATGAATGCTGAGAGACTGACGGTGAGCCTGGAGGCTGAGAAAGAAGGACGCCGAACTGCCGAAAGGGAGGCATTCCATTTGAACAAGATTGTTGCTTCAGCTGAAAAATCAAAGGAGGCTGCTATTGGGGCGCATGCTCAACTTGAAGGAAAAGTGGCCGAGCTGGAGGTCGTTATCGCAGTGATGGCTACCGAGCATTCTACGTTGGAGGCCAAGCACTGGCAACAAGGTTGGGACGAGGTTGGGGCTGCTTATAAGGAGGAGGTACTGGTGCTGCGAGACAAGCTCTTCCTGAAGGGTTGGTCGAGCGCTCTAGCTGCTGCCCTGGTTCCTGAAGGCTCTCCCCTGTTTCAGGATGTCCCAGTTTCCTCAAGCTCCTTGGGTTCAAAGATTGTCTCCACCCCTGCTATTCTTCCAGCTGAAGTTTTCCCAGAAATTGATTCTGCAAACAAGACTCAGGACAGTGATGTTGCCATTGAAACGATGAACGTTGAAGGGGGTGGAACCCTGGAGACTGAAGCCGCAGGAGACGTGGTTAAGGAAGCTTCCACTTCTCAGGGAGTTGGAGCTGCCTCTACTTTTCCTTCCCAAGACGGCCTAGACTAGATTGTGGACACTACTCCTGAGGTTCCCTCTGTTAATGAAAACTGAAGTTTTCTCTGAAAAGAATTGAAGTTTTTGCTTTTCTGTTTTGATGTACTGTGGCTCGATCCGAGCTTTCTTTCTATACTTGCCAAGACAATTTTTCTTTTTTCTTTTCTTTTCTTTATTGTTGGCTATGAGGCTATCTGTGCCTTTTGTTGGATGATGGGATTTTCCTTTTGAATTTGCAATCTGATGCTGTTTGGCTTCTATGTCTAAATGTTTTCTATACTGTTTGCCCTCGGCCAAGCACTGTTGGGACCTCGAGGCCGAACAGATACTCGGTCTGGTTCTGTACTTCTTGGAATAGATGCTCCGTCTAGTTCTGTGCTGTTTGCCCCCGGCCGAGCACTGTTGGGACCTCGGGGCCGAACAGTTGCTCGGCCTGGCTAACGAATATATTACATGGTTGTGCTTGATTTTGTAAGAGGGTCTTACTTAGGTCCAGGTTGGTTCTAAAAAACAATTGTTTGCCCCCACCTGGAGCTAAGTAAGATTGGTACTGAAGATTGTGCTCTTAGGCAGAACTGCTTAAGTCTGTTGCAACTTTGATAACATAAGTGCATTTGAATGGGATAAAGGCATGAAGATGTGTCTTACTCAAGTCCAGGTTGGTTTGAAAAAAAAAATTGTTTTGCCCCCAGCTGGAGTTGAGTAAGACTAATGCTAGAGGTTTGCTCCCGATAGAACTTAGCTTAGTTTGTTCTAACTCTGTTTGTATGCAGCATTACTGAAGTGTTGATGTGACGATACTTAAGAGACTTTGTAGACTCAGAGATGTTTACTTAAGATATGTTAGTGCAGTTTCCACCAAGCAATTCTGCTTGGCTAAAGTCCAATTTAGTTGCCAAACATAATTCCACCAAGTAGTTCCACTTAGCATGTTTGAGTGCTAACTAAATTTTAATTCCGTTCAGTCGTTCTGAAACTAAGTCCATTTGGGTTAAGACCAAAGCATATTCCGTTTGATAAACATCAAAGCTTATTCCATTTGATAAACATCAAAGCTATTCCCGTTTGGTAAGTACCAAAGCTAATTCTATTTGATAAGCATCAGAGCTAATTTCGTTTGATAAACATCAAAGCTATTTCCGTTTGGTAAACATCAAAGCTATTTCCGTTTGGTAAGTACCAAAGCTAATTCTGTTTGATAAGCATCAAAGCTAATTCCGTTTGATAAACATCAAAGCTATTTCCGTTTGGTAAGTACCAAAGCTAATTCCGTTTGATAAGCATCAAAGCTAATTCCATTTGGTGAACACCAAAGCTTATTACAAAAATTTGATAGTCTTGAGAGAAGTGAGGAGGCCTCTGTATTGGCCAAAAGGTAAATGTCTTTACATCCTGATAAAGAAGTTGGGGTTTAATTCTATTGATAATATTTCTTGAGATTTGCTACATTCCAGGGCCAAGGTATGGCTCTGCCTTTGAGATCCTCTAGGTAGTAAGCTCTATTTCCAACAGCAATTGTGACCTTCTACGGACCTTCCCAGTTAGGCCCAAGTTTGCCCTCGCCAGGCACTCTTTTGTGATCCATAACTTTCCTCAAAACCAATTCTCCAGGTGTAAATTGCCTTGGGAAAACTTTTTAGTTGAAACTCTGGATGAGCTGCTGCTGATACGCTATAAGTCTGATAAGTGCGACTTCTCTTCGGCCTTCTGCCATATCCAGTGCTTATACAATAACTTCCTCATTACTGGTGCTTTCAAACAATTCAGACCGAAGGGTTGGGAGACGTACTTTAAGTGGGATGATGGTCTCCATTCCATAAGTTAGGGCTTTTACATGCTCAAGCTGTTTCTTTACTCTGTTGATGATGGTTTTGCTTGACGCTTCTGCCTGTCCATTACTTTGTGTGTACCTTGGAGAAGAGTTCCTATACTCAATCCTGAGGTCGACACAGAACTTTTTGAAGATCTTTCCATAGAACTGTGTTCCATTATCCGCAATCAGTATCCGCAGGATGCCGAAACGCACCACCACGTTTCTCATGACAAATAGCTTTGTGTCCGCTTCTTTGATACTTGCCAGCGCCTCGACTTCAACCCACTTAGTGAAATAGTCAGTTGCAGCAATGAAGAATAGCCTGTTCCTAGTGCCTCGTGCCAATGGTCCGACAATATCCAGTCCCCATTGGGCAAAGGGCCATGGACTGGTGAGTAGAGTGAGAGTTTTGGCTGGTTGACGAATGAGTGGAGCAAACATCTGACATTTATCACACTTTTGTACATACTACTGTGCATCTTGTTGCATCTGTGGCCACCAGTACCCGTGAGTGAGGGCTCGGTATGCCAGTGACCTTCCACCAACATGGCATCCACAAATCCCATCGTGAATTTCGTAGAGAACATTCTAATAGCTTTGTGTCCGCTTCTTTGATACTTGCCAGCGCCTCGACTTCAACCCACTTAGTGAAATAGTCAGTTGCAGCAATGAAGAATAGCCTGTTCCTAGTGCCTCGTGCCAATGGTCCGACAATATCCAGACCCCATTGGGCAAAGGGCCATGGACTGGTGAGTAGAGTGAGAGTTTTGGCTGGTTGATGAATGAGTGGAGCAAACATCTGACATTTATCACACTTTTGTACATACTATTGTGCATCTTGTTGCATCTGTGGCCACCAGTACCCGTGAGTGAGGGTTCGGTATGCCAGTGACCTTCCACCAACATGGCATCCACAAATCCCATCGTGAATTTCGTAGAGAACATTCTCGACCAGATTTGAATGCACACATAGAAGATAAGGGCCAAGATAGGAGTGTTTGTACAGCTTCCCAGATGGTGAGATCCAAAACCGAGCTGACCTATGTCTGACTTTGTTGGCTTCCTTTTTATCTCTGGGGAGAGTACCAGATTTTAGAAAGCAAGTATCGGATCCATCCAGCTCGGCTCTAGGTTGCTACAGAGGACTGGAGATGCACTGCTTGGTTCTGGCACGAACTCAACCCAAACTTTTCTAACATCTTTGGTATGTACTGATGAGCCGAGGCAAGCCAGAGCATTAGCATGGCTGTTTTTGTCCCGACTAATTCGTTCCACTCATAT